GGGCTCAGGCAATCCACTCACCTCAGCCTCCCAAAGGCGCGGGATTACAGGCTGAGCCACCGAGCCCGGCTTTCCAATTTTATTTCTAATTAGCAAATAATGATTGCATATACTTATGGGGTACAATGTGATGTTTTGGTATATTTATATATAAATATATATAACATTTAGGGGGATAGTGAGGTGGTCACCTTTTGATTTCCTTGTGGGACGGTGGCCCTGTCTGCAAGGCTGAGGTGGGAGATGGCGGGGTGGTCACATCTCAGTCTCCTTGTGGGACAGCGGCCCCCTGAATGCCCATTCGGTTCCTGCCCTGTACTTTATCTGAGCACAGGGCCACGCCCCATGGAGCACCGCCCTGCTGTCCTGGCCATGCGGGCCACACTGGACTTCACTCTGGAAGGAGGCAGAAGGTGGGGCCGGCCTCTCAGAGGGCAGAGGCTGTAGCTTCACCCGGATCTGAATGCATTTTCCCCCATGAACAGCAGAGGCTGACACCGTCTAATCTGGGCTCCTGGGCTGTCCGTGTTCCTGCCTGGGGAGGGAGGAGTCAGCCTCAGCTCTGGAGCCAGGGAGGCCTGGAAGATGGTGGAAGCAGCATCAGCCTCGGCCTCACATCTGCTGAGAACACTGGACGAACGCACATGGCAGGCAAGCTTGATCTGTGGCCCAGCTCAGAGATGCTCCCACACACAAAAGCCACAGAGCCGCACCCCGCAGGCTGGCAGAGGCAGATCTGAGACTTGAACCCAGAGCTCTCGCCAGCAGTCTGGGAAGCCCTTCCAACATCCAGGTGAGAAGGTCACGGAGACCCGGATCTTGCAAACGAGGCAGCACAGAGAGGTAGGTCACCCGCTCGGGGCCACACAGTCAACGGGTGGGACCAGAATCCACATGCCAGCGGGGGGTCCAGATCTGAGCCCACCACCGCCATGCTTCGGGCTCCACATACGGGAAGAAGAGTTGCGCCCACTCTGCTCGGCCCCGCCCACAGCAGCGCTGCCCAGTCTAGCTGGAATCGGACCCACTCCCGGGTGTGTGTCAAACACACATTCTCCAACAGGCAGGGGAGGACTCTGAAGTCAGCCTGGCAGGGCTCGGGATTCCAAACACTCCGGGCTCTTGGGGGGCAGCCTGTCTCTGTCCAGTTGACGTGATGCCGCCCCAAGACGTGCACCCCTGCCCTGGTGTGGGCGCCGGGCTTGTTTGCCTGCTCATTCTTGTTTTGCCGGGAGCAGGAGCAGCCTGGCCCTCTCGTTTGGGCTTCTCTGCCTGCTTGCTGGGGGCAGGTAGCCAGGCTGGGCTTCTTCTCTGGCAAGTGGACCAGACGCCCACAGCCGGCAGAGGGTGACGCGCCACACCCTGGACTCCCCCGTGGGTACCCAACGCGCCAATGCCACATCCCAGCATCTGGCCACATGCCTCTCGGGTGCCCCTTCTCCAGAAACAGTGCCCTGCTGTGCTGGGCAGGCCATTCAGGACACAGAAACCACACGGCGACTTCTCTGAACATGGGACGTTTAATACAAAAACGAACTCTACAAAGAGAATAAGGTTTGAAAAGTCTTACCAAATACCCTAGGTGGAGGGAGGGTGCCCCAGGGAAGCAAACACTTGTCAGCCGGGCGCTGGGGCTCACGCCTCTAGTCCTGGGAATTTGGGAGGCCAAGGCGGGAGGATCATTTGAGTCTAGGAGTTCGAGACCAGTCTGGGCAACATAGTGAGACCTCGTCGCTACAAAAAAATAAAAAAAATCAGCCAGGCAGGGTGGCACACGCCTGTAGTCCCAGCTACTTGGGAGACGCTGAGGTGGAAGGATTGCTCAAGCCTAGAAGTCGAGATTGCAGTAAGCTATGATGGCATCACTGCTCCAACTTGGGCAACGCAGCAAGATCTTGCCTCAAAATAAAAAAAAAAAAAGATCTAGCCAGGCTCGGTGGCTCAGCCTGTCATCCCGCGCCTTTGGGGGGCTG